AGCCTTGGCTCGCCTTACTTACATCCACAAAGCCTCCCAGGGTGGGCAAAAGCAGGTAATGAGGAGGGGGCACTCCTCGGCCTGAGCAGGGGTGTGGGCCTGAGGACACAGCCAGTGCTCGCCCAGGAGGAGCCCACAGTCTCACAGCTTCAACTAGACTCTCTCTAAGTTGGGTTCTCCTGAAGCAGAGCCCAAAACAAGTACTCATTTGGGAAGTAACTCCATACCTCGGTGAGGGAACAGGAAGGACTAGGGAAGGAGAGAAGCCAACATAAGGAGTGTCATCCAGGTTACCTGTGGGCAACCTGAACTCTATTCCTCTGAAAACTCAAATAAGTCTCAGCATGCCTCCCAGAGGAGCGGAGCTGGAGCCTGTGTCCCCCCCTCCTGTCCTTCTTGGGCTCCAGGATGCCCCCAGGGCTGTTAATTCCCTCTAACCAAGCCTGCTCCCTGACTCCTGAAAGAAAGCCTGAGGGAAAGACCTGAGAAAGGGCCACCCACCCAGCTTCATCGCCACCCTTGGCCCTGGCCTCTCTCCAGAGCTCTGGACCCATCTATCCCTCATCCTCCAGACTAGCCCCCCAACCTCCACCCTGGTACCCAGAGTACTCTGCTTATCCTAAGCAGAACACAACCTCTGTCCCCTGAAACTGGCCCTCCTCCTAGGTTCCCAGCTTAGAAATAGCGGTTCCATCCCCTCAGGCACTTCAGCCAAAGAGTGGGCATCCCCAGCCTCCCCACCTCACCCCACCTCAGCCCCACTCCCAAGACCTACTGCCTCTACCAGCCCAACCACCCATTCTGTTGTCCCTTCCCCCACCCTCATCTAGACCCCATCCTGGTGTCCTGGTGATCTCCTGGCCTCTGGTTTTCCATCCCTGATTGGTTCTATAACAGCCTTCATGTTCTTCTTTCCAAAACACATTTCTGGTCCTTCAGGGGCTCCCCTGTGGCCTCAGGCCAAAGCCCATGCTTAGGAGGCTCTGCTGACCTCTCCAGTCCCATGTGCATCTTCCCCCAGAGCTTACCTGTTGCTCACTCCCCACCTGAGCTAGGGTCTCACCTCCAGTCCTTCTCCCTGCCTCTGCTCCCAGGTTAATCCTGTTCGTGCTTTGGTCTCTCCCTTGACCCTCCAGCCAGGGCCAAAGCTTCAAGGACCCCATCTGCACTTCTCAGAAGAAATGCTCATTATAACCCATTCATTCCCCCCCACAGGCCAAGAGCTCCTGTGGGTAGAGTTTGGGCTCGGGTCATTCTTGTGCCCCAACCCTACCCTGACTAGGGCTTGACACTGAACAGGCCCCATGCTTGTTGGGGCAGGAATCTCAGGCCTGGATTCCCCAAGTTCCTTGAAATAGTGCCAAGCCTCTCCCAGCCTCTGCCTGAGGCTAGCACATGAGCTCAGGCTGCCAGACCAGGAACTGAGCCAGCCATCCTGCCCCCGGTCACGCCCTGAGTCTGGCCTCACCTTCTCCCCATACCTCCCCCCACCACTCTCGAGCTCAGGTAAGTGCTCAGTGGGGTAGGGATCCCCAGAGTAGCCAGAAAGGAGCCCAGCCTCCATGTTGCCCAGGCCTCAGCCACCAGGGCCTGCAGTCCCTGGCTGAGACCGCTCCCATCTCGAGGCCTGATCTGGGAGAGGCCCAGAGCTGGCAGGGAAACTCCTCCCCACAACCTGAATTTGAACCAGGCCTCTTGTCGCTTGTGATCTGTGCTTGACTTCTGACCACAGCTACCACCCAATAATTAAACATATTTAACCATCCAATTGTTAAATTCGCTCCCTGGGCCTTGAACTGGCTCCCTTGCAGCCTTCTCATTCCTGGAGGTGCTGGCGTCTGTGTTTCTAGGACCGTGGGGCAGGGCTATTTGACTACATTCAACTCTGCAAACACTTGTGGATCGCTATCTGTGTCAACAAGAGAAAACATGCCTGGGATGTATCCAGCAGGGGAAAGGCCAGTCTGGGCAGCGTCCCATCCCCCCTGCTCCTTGAGCCAGGGTGAGGAGGAGGAGTCCATCACCTGCAGACCCCTCTACCTGCCAGGCACTGGAAACTCAAGGCCCAGAGAGGGTGAGAAACATCCCCAAGACACAGAGCCCAGGTCTGGAGGTCTGGTTAAGGCCTTGGGAATTGATGAAACATTTACTGTCTCGTGGGTGCACACTGGTTGATGAAATACATACAGCTCCTGTCTTGGATGAAATTCACAGTTAGGGTGAGAGGTGGTCGATAAACCAGAGAACACAGCTATTGATGCAGAAATACAGAATGTGTTGCAGGCTAGGATGGGAGTGAGTGGGGACAGGGGGGAGGGGGCACCAAAGCCAGGAGGCCAGGGAGGGCTTCTCAGAGGAGATGAATTTTAGCTGAAGAATGAAGGATCAAAGAGTGGCTATTGGAAGATGTGGGGGAAGAGCATTCAGGCAAAGGCCCTGAAGTGAGAACTGGCTTGTGTTGGTCCGGGTGGCGCAGTGGGTGGGAGGAGAGCAGTGGGGGACGAAGCTAAAGTCATGAGGGGGCCTGGAGCAGTGGTTCTCAACCTTCCTAATGCCATGACCCTTTAATACAGTTCCTCATGTTGTGGTGACCCCCAACCATAAAATTATTTTCCTTGCTACTTCATAGCTGTAATCTTGCTACTGTTATGAATCATAATGTAAATATCTGATATGTAGGATGTATTTTCATTGTTACAAATTGAACATAATTAAAGCATAGTGATTAATCACAAAAACAATATGTTTTTGTGTGTTTTCCGATGGTCTTAGGCGACCCCTGTGAAAGGGTCGTTCGACCCCCAAAGGGGTCACGACCCACAGGTTGAGAACCGCTGGCCTGAAGCCTCCTGGGCAGTGGTGAGGGGCGTGATCTTTATTTACATGCATTGGGAGGCCTCTGTGGATGTTCCGTGAGGAGGGGTGACACCACAGTCCTATGTACGGCTTTGAAAGAGCCCACTGGCAGCTGAATGGAGGAGGATTAAGGGGGCAGGTGGAGGCTGGGAAGTTCTCTGGGGGGAAGGGGCTCAGCCCTGGCAGGAGAGGTGGTGAGAAGTGCATGATTCATGTGCATTTGGAGGAAGCACCCACAGTCCCTGCTTGGATCAGGAGTGTGGGTGTAAAAGAGGGTGGAATCAAGATTGATTCCCAGGTTTTTGGTTTGAGGGGATGGAGTTATCATTTACTGAGATGGGGAAGTCTGGGTAGGAGTCCACTGTGAGGAAACAGTCAAGAGTTCAGTTTTAGCCAAATTATGTTGGAGAAACCTATTATGTATCCATGGAGATGTTGAAAAACTAGTAACACTCAGCCAACACTTAACTGAGCACACTTTGCATCAGGAACTAAGTGCCTTATGTATAGTACCTCATTTAATCCCTTCATCAACCCCTTGGAAAACAAACTATCATTATGCCCATTTCACTAATCAGAAAACTGAGGTTCACAGTGAGGTATTGTGTATAGAATGAGAAGAAAGCCATGTAGAGCCCCAAGGAGCCCTCCTAAAAAGCTACAGGAAAAGGCTTCCAAAGGGGTTATGAGCAGCATCCCATCCCCCCTGCTCCTTGAGCCAGAAGGGGGTTCTCCTAGGTCAGCCTGATGTTGTCAGGGGGCCACATGAGAGAAGACATGGATAACAAAGTGTCCAGGGGATTGGACCACAGAGCTTCTATAGTTGACCCCAGGCAGTATGGTTAGGGCCCTCTTTGCATTCCCAAAGTCCCTCAGGCAAAGTATCACCAGGCTTGTCACGTCTCTTATAATTGTTTGTGTGTCTACCTGGCCCCACAGATTGAAGGAAGGAGCCATGTCTGATCCATTTTGGTGTCCCCCGTGCCCAGGTCAGGGTCTAGACCAGCGGTTCTCAACCTGTGTGTCGAGACCCCTTTGGGGGTCGAACGACCCTTTCACAGGGGTTGCCTAAGACCATCGGAAAACACATATGTAATTACATATTGTTTTGTGATTAATCACTATGCTTTAATTACGTTCAATTTGTAACAATGAAATTGGGGGTCACCACAACATGAGGAACTGTACTAAAGGGTCGCGGCATCAGGAAGGTTGAGAACCACTGTTTAGACAGAGCAGGGACTTGAATGAAATGAGCTGCTTGAAGCCTTGTGAAGGCCACAGGCCTTGATGCTTCTCTGGCTTGGGAGGCAAAGTACATTTCAGATTCAGCACTTCTACCAGGCAGCTGTGTAGATGCATAGAGCCCCTAAGTGATTAAAAGCCAACAGGGACATCATTTTTCCTGCCCTCATTTTCCAGAGGAGGAAGTTGAAGCTCGGAGCAATGAAGGCACAATCCACAGGTCCACGATCAGTGGGGCCGAATCGTGCTCACATACATGGCCCTGACTCTGCCTCATAGCTCCCCTTCCATAAACGCTAAAGCCTAGGTTTCCTTATCTGCAAAACCAGGTTAGACCCCGCAGTCTCAGAAAGCTCAGCCATGGTCCCTGTCTATGAACTCACAGGCCACAGGCCACAGGCCCTGTGGTGGGGGGAGGAGAGATCCCTCAAGAGGCTGTTTATCAGCTTGTTGGACCCACCCCCACCCTTGAACTCTTGGAGCAAAACATTCCCAGAAACAGGGTGATTCATTCACAGCACTATTTGCCAGTTCCAGAGAAAAGACAGAACATGAAATACATTCTGCAACTTTTAAAAAAGGAGACAAAGAAATTTCAAGATGAAGTTTCCCTTTAGTGGACAGAGGCTGAGGGAGCTGGGACATACATATTTTTCCTTCCAGAGAGCAAGCTTTGGGGGGAGGAAAAGATCATGGTTTGAGCCAACTTCTCCCAAAACACAAGGTGGTACCCTCTAAGACCACCAAAAACAACAGTGTTTTTTAAATAACATGATGGGCTAAACCTGGCAACCACTGTTAATGTCGACTGGATGTGAGTTTAAACCAAATTAGATTGGCTGCTTTTTATGCTAATCCATGCCAGAATTCCAATTGATTGCTCCTCTTAAATTAAGCAGAGGGAAGCTGCTGAATGTTAGAAGGTTTGGACATCTGGCTACCCAAGAAGGCATGGACAGAGGTTAACAGGTGAGTCTGGTGGGGTCTTGCGGGTCGAATTATAGGGAGAGTGAACGGTAAACTTCCATAATCCACAGAAAACCAACCTGGAATGACTCTAGCAGTATGAAGAGAGGTGGAAAGCTGTCTCTCATTTTGAAGTTACAAGATATCTGTGCCTCCAGTTTGGTCTCCTACAACATGAATCTGTACTCAACTCTTTAAAAATTATATTTTTAGCTCCCAACCCCAATATGGGCAGAAGTAGGAGTGAGCTTGATCTCTTTGCCCAAGTGAGAATGTGACATAATAAGAAAGCTCAAGAGATCTGGGTTCTAGTTCAATTCTGATTCCAAAGAGCTAAATGGTATTGAGCATGTTTCCAGCCCTCACTGGGACTCAAGTTTCCCCATCTGTAAAATCTCAGGGAAGAGAATGTGTTGAGGAAAAAGGGATCCTTGAGGATGGGCTTTAGGGTCATACCCCCTGGGTTCTAATCTAATTTTCTAGCTGTGTGTCCTGAGGTAAGTTGATTAACCTTTCTGAGTTTTCTCATTTCTAAAGCAGAGACCATAATATCTACCTCATGGAATTTGCTGACAACTTAAATGACATAATGTGTACAAAGAGCATAGCTTAGTACCTGGCCCACAGGAATATTTTTTGTTAAAGTGTAATTTACACATAATGAGATGCTCAGATCTTAAACATTCCATTTTGATGACTGCATATCAAGACAGAAAACATTGCAATTACCGCAGAAAGTTTTCTCATGCCTCTTCCTGGTCAATCCTCCCAGGAACCCCTGATCTTATCTCTATCACCCTAGATTAGTCTTGTCTGTTTTAGAATTCTCTATGAGTAGGACCAGGCAGTATGCATTGTATTAGTGTTTGTGGGTATGTTGGCCTTTTCCCCTTAAAATAATAGCTTTGAGGTTCATTCGTGTTATTGGGTGTATGAGTAGATCATTGCGTTTGGTGTGTAGCATTTCACTGCCTAAACACACTGCAGTGTATCCATTCCCTTGATCAGCATTTGAGCTATTTTCAGTTTTTGCCTATTACTATGATGAAAGTTGCTATGAACATTCTAGCTAGAGTTTAGTACAAGACTTTCATGGGTATTTTCATTTCACTTGGGTAAATACCTAGGAGTGGAATGCTGGATCATAGGGTAGATGTATGCTGAACTTTGTAAAGAAACTCCCAAATGGTCTGCTAACGTGGTTCATTTTACACTTCCACCGGCAATCGAGAGTTCCAATCACTCCACAGACTCCACAACATTTGCTGAGGTCAGTCTTTTTGTTTTTTCGGTCAGTCTTTTTTATTGTCGTCATTCTGGTATCCCATTGTGGTTTTAATTTGCATTTCCCTGATGACTAATGGACTCCTTTCGTGAATTGATTTAGAATTTTTTTTTAAGGTAGTTCTTCTCCCCTTTGCTGCCATGTAGCTTTCAGCCTCCATAATTTGAAGAACTGTTGAATAAATGAGGAAGGGAAAACTGAAGACACAATCCACCAGAAATCAAAAGAGCTCTCCAACTACAAAAGCAAGCATGAGCTCAACCTTGGAACCTTCTTTTAACTTTGGTTTCCCAGGACTGTGGGGTAAGGACGTGCTCATCTTCTGAGGAAGCCAAGATCATGTTTTAATGATAACAATTTTGTTCTGGATTGAATAATCGTTTTCATTGCTCCCATTTATAAACTACTGCTATGCACCATATATACACACAGTGTGTCTAATTTTTCAATAGCTCTGCAAGGTTGTTATATGATCTCCATTTAGTGAACTTTGAAAATCAGAGACACCACATAGCTACATCTCCATAGGATCAGATTCAAAACGTGACTGCTCCAAAATCACATTCACCAAGCTGCCTTCAACACACACACACACACACACACACACACACTCAGGAATATTATTCAGCCATAAAAAAGGAATGAAGTGCTGATATGATACATGCTACAAGGATGAACCTCAGAAACATCATGTTAAGTGAAAGAAGCCAGACACAAAAGGTCACATATTGTGTGTTACTCCATTTATTTAAAACTAGAGGCCCGGTGCATGAAATTCATGCATGAGGATGTATGTGTCCCTCAGCCCAGCCTGCACCCTCTCCAATCTGGGACCCCTTGAGGGATGTCTGACTGCCTGGTGGGATCGGGCCTAAACGGGCAGTCGGACATCCACCTTACAATCCCAAACTGCTGGCTCCCAACCACTCGCCTGCCCGATTGCCCCTAACTGCCCTCCCCTGCCAGCCTGGTCGTCCCTAACTGCCCTCCCCTGCTGGCCTGGTCACCCTTAACTGCCCTCCCCTGCAGGCCTGGTCGCCCCCAACTGCCCTCCCCTGCTGGCCTGGTCACCCCCAACTGCCCTCTCCTGCAGACCTGGGTTCCCCCCTACTGCCCTTCCCTTGCTGGCCATCCTGTGGTGGCCATCTTGTGTCCACATAGGGGTGGCCATCTTGTGTGTTGCATATTACCTCTTTATTATATAGGATATCTAGAATGGGTAAATCTATACCTATTGACAGATAGTACATTGATGGTTGCCAGAGGTTCAGGAGAGAGGAGAGTGGGGGGAAACTGCTTAATGGGGTTTTCTTTAGGGATGACAAAGTCAATTTGGAACTAGATAGGGGTGGTGGTTACATAACATTGTGAATATACTAAATGCCACTAAACTGTACACTTTAAATAGTTCATTTATGTTTATTCACTTCAATAAGATTTTTTAACTCCACTCTAGAGCATAATTTTACCATTAGTGATTTAGTCCTTTGGATAATGATGCCTCCAGAACCTGGGCCGAATCTTTTCCCGCCGCAGAGAGCCCTCCTTGAGAATTCCAGGGTAAAAAGCGGGGAGGCAGCACAATGACTCAGAGTGGGGCCAGGAGTCAGGGTGCCTGAGTTCAATTCCAGGTACCTCCATGCCGTCATCTATAAAATGGGGATGATCATGTTACCATCCTCATGGGGTTGCTGTGAGGATGGAGTTGTGTATACAGACTGTTTGGGCACATGAATGTTTATTCACTATGCTATATTGCTAGGGCAGGCCACCTTCTCCTAATATCATCCATGCTGCAAATATTTATTGAGCATCTACCATGTGCCAGGCACTCTTCTAGGCCTTGGGGACTCATCTATAAACAAGAACAATAAAATTCCTTTCTTCTTAGAGCTTACATTCCAACCCTATCTAATTAAAAGGTAATATGCAAATTAACCATCACCCCATCACAATGATGGTGGCACCCATAGCCACAAGATGGTGGCACCCAGTCCTCTCAGCTCCGCCGGAGTCCCCCAGTGGTGTGGCCGCTGAGAGCGGACAGTGTGAGCAGCCTGGCAGAATGCTTGCTTTGTCGCTGCGGCAACAAGGCAAGCATTCCACCCTGGCCACAGAGGGCCTCTGGGCAGCAAGCACAGAGCAGCCAGGGGCAACTCTTGCATTGTTGCCCTGACGATGAGGCAAGCATTGCGCCTGGCTGCAGAGGGCCTCTGGCCAGGCTGGGCGTGGAACGCTTGCATCATTGCAGGCTGGGCTGAGGGCCCCCCCCCCCCCGCCCCATGTACGGATTTCGTGCACTGGGCCTCTAGTTGAGATAAAAGAAAACAAACCAAGTAAGTAAAATACATAGTACATTGGATGATGGTATATGCTCAGAAGAAAAAATGAATAAGGGATAGGGATAGGAAGTTTTGGGGACAGGTTATAATTTTAAATTGGGTTTGAGAAGTCTTCCCTGAATAATGATCTGAGGGAAGTAAGGTATATTCATTTCCTATTGCTGCTGTAACAAGTACACAAACTTAGTGGCTTAAGAAAACCCAAATGTAGTATTTTACAGTTCTTGAGGTCAGGAGTCCAAAATGGGTCTTGCTGAACTAAAATCAAGGTGTTGGCAGAGCTGTTTTCCTTCTGGGAGCTCTAGGGAAGGTCCATGCCTTGTCTTTTCCAGCTTCTAGAAGCCGCCCACATTCCTTGGCTCATGGCCCCACATTACTCCAACGTATGCTCCCATCATCCCATCTCCTTCTCTTCGACTTTCCTGCCTTCCTCTTTTCCTTATAAGGACCCTTGTCATTTTATTGGGCCCACCTGGATAATCCAGAATCATCTCCCCATCTCAAGATCCCTAATTTAATCATACCTGCAAAGTCCTTTTTGCCATGTAAGGTGATAGTCACCAGTCCTCAGGACGAGGAGGTGGACATCTTTGGGGGCCATTATTCTACCACTTAGAGCAGTGATGGCGAACCTATGACATGCATGTCAGAGGTGACACACGAACTCATTTTTTTGGTTGATTTTTCTTTGTTAAATGGCATTTAAATATATAAAATAAATATCAAAAATATAAATCTTTGTTTTACTCTGGTTGCAAATATCAAAAAATTTCTGTATGTGACACAGCACCAGAATTAAGTTAGGGTTTTTCAAAATGCTGACACGCTGAGCCCAAAAGGTTCTCCATCACTGACTTAGGGCATAGTATCTAGAGAAAGTCGGAACAGCAAGTTCAGAGGTCCTAAGGCAGCAGTTGTCTGGCATGTTTGAAGAAGATGGTGGCCAGTGAGGACGCAGTAGAGTGGGCAAGGAAGGAGTGGTCTCTCACAAGGTCAGAAAGGTGAAGAAAGTGGAGTGGCACTTGCAGGACTTTAGCCTTTACTTGAATGGGAGCATGTGAGGGCCGCGATCTTATGGGTTTTAACATCATTCCTCTGGCTGCTATGTCGAGTACAGTCTATCATGAGGAGGCTGCTGCACTATCTGGGCGAGATGATGGTGGCTGGGCCATGGGAGTAGAGGAAAGTGGTGACACAAGGTCTCATTCTGGATTTTGAAGGTCAAGTCACAAGGAACCACTTAAGGGTCAGAAGTGGAGTGTCACAGAATGAGGGGAGTCAAGAATGACTCCAAGGTATTTGGCCTGAGCAACTGGAAGAATGAAGATGCTCTTTAAGATGAGGAAGACCACAAAAAGATCGGACTTGGGACGGCTGGTGAGAGATTAGGGATTTGCTTTGAGATGCATGTTGAGTATCCAATGGAGATACTGAGTGGAAAGTCAGATATGAGAGTCTGGAGTTTAGAAGAGAGGTCTGGAGGGATTTGTTTGGGAGACACGTGGTATTTAAAGCCATGAGCCTGGATGAGATCTTCAAGGGAGTGCCTGCAGAGATAAGAGAACCGAGGGCCACTCCGAGGAGGAGAACCCAGTGATGTTGGAGGAAAAACCAGGGGAGGGTGTGGTCCTAGAAGCCAAGAGAGCCGAACATTAGAAACTGTCCAGAGTAAGAATGGAAGGGGGCGGGTGGAGTAGAGGATGACCACCCTTGCTTTCCTAGGTCTGTTCTCTGGCAAACAGCCTCTCTGGGAGATAATTTAAGGAAGACGGACCTGCTGTGGTGGGAAATCTGGCCAGGCCCACTGTAGCAGTGCAGGGACCCTCACGGCACCGAGCCTATTGACACTGAGGATTTGTTAAATCCCGAGGAAAGGGCCATGGACTTGGGCCCAAGTCTGAGTTCTGGCACCCTCAAAGAAGCCAGGGTTTCAGTTTCCCTCTCTAAAATGGAGATGATACACACTCACCCCTAAGGCCCTCCTCATCAGTCATGACATTTGGGAAAGTGTTTGGCAAACTGTAAACCAGCTGGGCGAATCGGGCTTAGGTCGAGGCTTTTCCTTGGCAGCTGAATCAAGGTACATGGCTGGACCTGTGTGACCCACCCCACACCACGTGAGGCCTTCGACTTGATTTTTCTCAAGTCACTCTAAGGACAAGCAGCTCCTTCCTCAGGCAACAGGAACTGGGAATGAGTGGGACCTGGTCCCAGTGGAAACTTTAACACATACATGGACATTCACAAGTGTTTCCAGTGACTAAAGGCCACACGAAGCAGCTGGCTAAACCCTTCCTGAAAAGTTGTCCCAGGATGACTGCAGAGCTGCCCCCACCCCTGGCCATCCTCAGCCACAATGTCCCACCTCTCCAAGGGTGAGCCCTTACTTCACCCCTAAGGCAGGGACCAGGCTCCCCCTTTTGCTCAGCAACAGACAGCACACAGGAGGTTCAGCATGCAGGCCAGTTTATTCACATTTACTTCCCCCCAACACTTTTCCACACTGGTCAGGGAGTGAAAGAATTGGGGGTTTAGGGAAGAGACACATGGGATATTGTAGAGGTGGAAGCCAAAAGGCTCACCTTGAATGTGCTATGATAGGATGAAAAGACTTTGGTCTGAGAGTGACAGGCACCTTCCGCCCCCGCCCACCCGCCTCCCCCCCCCCCCCCCCACGCCCTGCCTCATTTCAGAGACTCAGAAAATTGGGCCCAAGAAACACACACTCATTCACCAAAACCTCTTCCATCTGCGGGAGGAGAACCAGGCATTACCCTGACCTGGGTCTTCTGCTGGCTCTCACACCAGGCAGTTTTCAGACCTGGCCATAGCACTACACTGGACATGGTGTCTTGACCTAAACAAAACAGGTGAGGCCTGGCTCCACCTGCACAAGCGGAAGAGACAAAGGTGACTGATTAGCAGGTCTGTGGTGCACAAATAATGGGAGAGGGCGGTGCTTGTCAGCATTAGCTAATGGCTCTGAAACGTAGTGTAAATCCACAAGGTGGGTACTAAAGGTCAGACTCCATGATTAAGTTGAAAACATAATCTGACCGGACTTGTGAACAGGCTTCTCAAACAGTCTCTGCTCACAGGGTATTTCAGTCTCCTTGACTCTAAACCACCAAGGAAGCAGGAGGAAGAGGAAGTGGTGGTCTGCCGAGCTAGGACCTGGGACTGTCATGATTGTCCAGATCTCTGAGCCTGGACGGAGTGAGGGAACAGGACGCTGAGTCCCCAGAGGGCTGCCTTCAAGGCCCTTGCCCCTCCCATCCGGCTCCACAGGCCTCGTCTTCTAACGCTTCTTCTTGGCCTCCTTCTTGGGCCTCTTGTTTGTGGAAGGAGCAGCAGCCTTGGGCTTCTTCACTTCCCCACTTCTGGGCTCAGATGGTTCTGTCTCCTGCATGGTATAAAACAAAGAGTCCTGCTTAGATTAAGCAAGCCTGACATTGGCAAAATGAGATCATGTCTGAAGGGACTTTGCAGACTGAAGCATGCCACAGAAACACAAGGGATGGAAACCATGATGGCTGGGACCCAGGACGGATATGTGTGCAGGTTAATCCCTGGGAGCGGGGCAGTTCTTAGTAAAGAGAAAGGGAGGCCCTGAGGACAGGACACAGTCTTTGGAGTCTCACAGGCCTGGGTAGGATCTAGGCTCCTCCATGTTCTAGTCAAGTGACCTTGTGGGCAATCTGCTTCCCTTTTCTGTGCCTTGGTTTGCCCACCTATGAAATGGAAGTAGCGATGCATAGCTTGGAGGACTAATATAAGTAGGCAATAATGCACAAAAAGCACCCAGTAAATGTAGTTGCACCCAGTGGCTGGCTGGTCACCCTGGGCAGGGTCTGGGCAGAATTTGGGTGATGAGCCAGCTGTGGGGCAATGCCACTATGGCCTGCTCTCCCCTTCTGGCCCTGCTGTTCTCCTACCATTCAACCCACAGAATGCCAGGGCCACAGGGGTGGCGTGCTGGCAGGCAGGCAGCCACTGCACTGTTCTGTGGAACCTGGCAGAGGTGCCCCATGGGGTGGGCAGGAGGCTGTTTCAGGGCAGAACTCCAGACTCTCCCGATGCCTGCGGAAGCCCTGGTTTTCATCCGTCATAGACACTGTGATTCCTTCCCAATAAGACGGTTTAATCAAAGTTCTGTGGCCTAAAAGAGGTTCAAACCTGCAGATCTGCCCCCAGCCTTCACGGTGCTGATATAAAAAGTGGGCTCTGGGCAAGGGCCTCAGCCTCTCCAGCCACCCAGGCTCCTGTCAGAGGAATCTGGGGAGAGCTCAGTCCTGTCGAGTATCCCTTCCTCCCCTGGGTGATCAATCACAGTGCCACAGCCAGGCAAGACGTCAGCAAGCTCCATCCAGCTCAGAGAGCACTAACCACAGCTCCCAGCCGCATCTGGCCCACAGGCGAACTTCACTTGGCCTACAGAGTTTATTTTTAAGAATTTAAGCCAATTGGGAGATTTCCCATTCAATCCGGATCCATAGCGTTTTTGAAAACTTTAAACATCCGGTGACACTAGCCCTGAATCCCCTTGTGGAAGAAATGGGCTGAACTGCAGCTGCCCCTTTCTTCATGTGCCCATAGCCCCATGACCCTGGTGCCCCCAACACTACGGAAAGAAAATTGTTCTTTTATGAAATAATTTGAAAACAAAACAAAACAAAACAAAACAAAAGACTAAGAATATCAGGAGAGAACACTTTTTCTGGAAGAGAAAAATATTTCCCCCTGTTTAATTGGACAACTCCCAGCTTCAGCTTGCTTTAAGCTCTATCCTTCCCAGCTCGTCCACTGGCCCCTGGTCTAAGTCTCACCCTACAGAAGAGGCAGGACCTCGGCTGGGGAGGGGCAGTCCCCGCCAGAAGGCTCAGTCCAGAGGTCCGTCAGCTCCCTCTTATCAGCCAGTATTGTCTTCTCTGCACCCTGCCAGCTGAGACGTCAGATGTAAAGGCCCAGCCTCAGTCCCAGGAACCTACAAGTGATCTTCTCAAGATAATAAGCAGGCCGGTCTCTCCTCTGGCCAAGTCTCTGATGACAACTCTGGACTTCCCCAGCTTGTCCCTCTGTGCTGACACTGTTTATGTAACTTGGCAAAAAAAAAAAAAAAAAAAAAAAGAAGTCCCATTATAAAAGCAAACAAAACCAAACTTCAGAGGAGCCAGTGTGTCAAGTGCACAGGCTGCAGGCTGCAGAGCTCAGCGGGAAGGCTACTGTTTAAGGCAAACCCCACAGGGCACAATGCCTTGGGAGACCTTGGGAGCAGTACCCGTCAGTCCCTGGAAACCAGTGGGTCCCTGAGTGCCCTGGGCAAACAGGCCCTGATTAGACCAATGGTTTATGCACAGGGCACTTGCTGAGGCCTGCCAGGATCTCCAGGTGGAACCCCACTCTGAGCTTGAGTGCCTCCTCCGGTTTCAGAGGGGCCCAGTTTGGAATCCACAGAGAAATTGACATCCAGCTGCCATCCCCTTTGATTCCATCACCCACAGTCTCATGTCCCACACCTGGGATGGCATCTAAGGAGACCACCTCTCCAGCTTCAACTGTGCTCTTCTCCACCACCACCCCCAAACTCCCACTGGTCACCCCTAACAAGAGGAGCACCCTTCTTTCCTTGGCCTCCGAGTAAAGCCCTCCCCATGGTTTGGTTCAGTAAGTAGAAGACACTCCTACTCACAGTCTAATCTTCCTTCTCTACTCCTCTACTTGTAGCCAAGTACATCTCTCCTCCACCTCCACCCCGCAGAGCCCCAGGAACCTTTTAATGCCACTATTATCTTATCATAGTTACATGTTCTCATGTCGGTCTCCCCTATTAACCTGTGAGCTCCTTGGGACAACTTCAATTGTTGCTGAATGAATGAATGAATGAATGAATGAGTGAAATGAAAGAACAGGCAAGATCTCCCATAACCATGAGAGATCCCTATAACATAAGACTAGGCATCACTTTTTCCATGGCACAGAGGACACAAGCAGATTTTAAACCCAATATACATACCCTGAAGCATATAGGACTAGACATAGCAACCAGTAATAACAACAGCTACAACAGCTGCTCATATTATTTACAATATGCCTGTGTTCCATGGTTTGGACATATCTTACTTTAGCCTCACAAAGTGCCCTAATGAGCCCATTTTGTAGATGAGAGGTAGTAACTCGGCTAAGGTCTGTTGGTGAGCAGCAGAGCCAGGATTTGAACCTAAGCTCTTAATGGTTATATACAGGATACCTCTCCAGCTTCCTAAGTGACCTCAGGGTTATGGAGACGGATAATTTGAGTCAACTGTGAAATCTACTTTCACAAGTTGACAAGGACAACTGGTTCTAGATTCTGTCTGTCAATGGGTCATCCAGGACCCCTGTTTGTGACGAAAGTTCTACAGGAGTCAGGAAAGTGGGTTAGTGCTCCTCGAGTCATGCTTTACTTTCTACAGATGAAAGCAATTCTCTGTAGGTGTGTGTACATATTACAGTCATTGAGTCATCTGAACGTCTTGTCTGTCTCCTCATCCAGACCTCCTCTCTTTCTCATTTCAGTTTCTGGCATTGTCACCCACCTAGGTACCCAAGCTAGAAAGCTCCGAGTCATTTCTGAGTTCTCATCATTCCCCGGTGCCCCACATCCCACCTGTCCCCAGGTCCTGTCCACTCTGCCTTCCAATGGGCTCTCATTCCACCATCTCCTTTGGACACACACTACTGTGCCAGATCAGACCCCGCAGTCTCCTGCCTGCCTCATTGTATCGGCCTCCCAGATTTTCCTCACCACCTGCCACATTGCTTTCAGAATCTAAAACTGTTGTTTCAGGAGACCGCATCTGTTTTCTGCTTTAAAAGTGTCCCTGGCTCCCTCTCAATAGAGGGCCCTGTCACTCTAGCCTCGACCCTGTCTCAGGACACACCCCTTCATGCATCCCACTCTGTCACTCTGGGTTACTGATCAAGCTAGCAACTCCCAGGTATTCAGTTCCCTGTCATGCTCAGCACAGGCACTCCGCATGCATCGCCCATCTGTCTATGCCCAGTGTTAAGCGGGTTCTGTGCCGGGCACCACAGGGTAATGCAGAAGATAATGCATACTCAGTGATGTAAACCATGTGGGTGCTTCACAACCATCAGCTCCGTGAGCCTCCCATCACCCTGACCAGCCAGCCACTGTAAGCTCCATTTTACAGGTGAGGAAACTAAGGCTCAGAGACTGGTCCATGGAGGCACAGCTGCCTTCCCCGCAAGCTGTAGGGAAGCAAGGCAGCTATTACACACAATTCGGCTGCTGGGGTCCAAGCCACACTGAGCTGGAGCTCCAAGTCCTTGGCTGGCAAGAATGGCTGACTTAATTTCTCTTCAACTGCACGTTGCTGGTACAAGCCAGGCAGGGGGCAGATTCCAAAAGCTACAGCCCCACCTTTAAATCTGGGAACACCTCTCTTCCTCTAAAGCAAATTTTGAGTTTCCTCGACAATCACACTGTCAGGAGTAAAAGAAAACCTCTCCTGCCAGGAGGCTCCTGGGTCTGCAGAGATGTCCTCTGTGGAAAGAGGCCTCATCAATAATGAAGCAGCTCCACAACCGCTTACGAGGCCAGAAAATTGCTGCTATTCATCAGCTTCAAATAATCGAATCTGTGCCACAATGCATCAAATCCCTTCCAGCAGGGAAAGCGCCCAGAATTTTATGGTTTCCACTACACAGTTCGGTGTGGATTTGTCCTATAAATCAGGACCAAATGTCATTCTGCACAGACTGAAACCGTGCTTTCCTCTAAACTGGTCCAGGAAAGAAAACCACTGTGCTCAGCTCAGAAAACCCCACACACCTTATCTCACTTGATCCTCAAGAACTCTGTGGGCCGGGCAGCCGTGTCCTCCTTTTACAGCTCAGCACACAGGCTCAGGGAGATGAGGGTGGGCCAGCACCCAGGCCAGGTGTGACTAGTGCTGAAGCTCCTGCTGCCCCACTGTGCACTCCTGTCCAGAGCCCTGGGCAGGGTGGGCGCTGAAAAGACCTTGCAGAGATGGAACCAGCTCTAGCCTCGAGGAAAATAGGGCTAGCTGAAACAGGGAGCAGGGGAGGCCCTGCATGTGGGCTCGACACAGAGACATGCATCCAGGACGTGCTTGGCAGGCAAGGAGAACTGTGATTAGTGAGAAAAGCCTTAGGAGTTCATTCCAGACACAAGTCAGCACAACGCAGGCCCTTCCCACCGGCTGGTCTGTGGTTCCCTATGTGTCCAGATGTCTCTCCCACAAGCAGGTTCACATCTCAAAACCATGTTTATACTTTTACCCTGCCCACCACACAGCAATCTCTCAGAGACGTCTCACTAAGTGGAAAAATCCCTGCTGCCCATTTCAACTGCAAACTCCTCTTAAGCTTAAAAAAAAG